ATTCAAAGTTAATATAGATTTAAAGAATATTAGCTAGGTCTTTTTTTCCTTTTCAACAAACAATAATTATCATTTTAAATATGTATATACATATTCTATTGAGATTAATTTAGTTGTCATTATAGTTTTATTCGAGTAGGATGAGAAAGAGTTTTAATAAAAATTGTCGAATAATATTAATTCGAATGATGATAACTATAAATAATCTCTATTTAATTAATTTTCCTAGATTTTCAGTATTTTATTGATCGAACAATTGAATCATTTTTTTTTTAAATTTTCTATAATAAAATGAAAAATAAGGAAGATTTGTGATAATGACAATCCTACTTCGAGCAATACTTTAATCACAATCGTTTTCATATATTCAACTATAAAAAAATGATATATTGTCTAATTTACTCTTTGATAATCAAATGAGCTCACTGAGTAAAAACTACAATCAATATTAAATAAATGATAATAAAAGTGAATATATATTCTATAAAGCATATTATATATTATAATTGGTATAAAGTTTCGACGTTGATAAACAGTTTTATGAAACAAATATTAGATGTTGGAAATTGTCATTATAATAAATAATGAAGTAAATGAAATAGTGACTATAGAAACAAAATTGACTTCTATAGAAGACTAATATTGAATAAGATATTATTCGAGTTCGAATATAAATGGTATTTATTATTATATATAGGAACAAGTCCGAATATCCTAAAATTGATCTGTTCATACCCATTAACAAGCTCAAAATCGGTCATCATTTATAATAGATAAATTAAATTTTTTGTTTTTTATCAAAATAGGTAAATATCCTGTTAAACCTAGAAATATTCGAAGATGATTTACATAAACCATTTTAAAAATGATATATATTATTGATCGTTTTAGTAAAGATTGAACAATTTTAAGAAGTTAAAAAGAAGAAAGACAAAGACAAACAATTGAACTAATCACTAAAATAAGTCGAATTATTTTATATTATCATTGAAGTTTTCTTAGTCAGTTGACTAAATAAATAGTTCTTCTCTTTATTTTCTACCTTCTTATTGATCCTAGATAAGCAACAATTTATATATATGTATAGTACGTGGTCTAGTGATATCAAGCAATGGAAGAAATACCAATCAATGTCGAATGCACTACGTGTGCCGACACCTAAGATGAGACTCATTTTTGGAAGCTCCTATTTATAGCATATGAAGTACATTACTAATAAAGATTATTAATGAAGTCAGATTTTTCTGACCTAGTATAATCATGGAACTAAACTAAAATAAAGGAGGGGTGAGGTGTGGGTGTGGAGTATGGGTGTGAGTGTGGGTGTGGGGTATTGGTGTGCGACTTAAAGTGAGTTCCACACTCACACCCACACCCTCTCAAATTTGAATAAATCTATGATAAAAAATTTGATTTTTAAATGAAGAATATTTCTTTAAGAAATATATATATCCAGATTTTGAACAGCTAATCAGAGATTTTCAATTGCTTTTCTATCAAATTGGCAAAAAAAAATAAGCAAATCATATTGATTATCAATATTTAATATAAGATTAGAATACTTGAACGATTGATTCATCTTAATAGTTTTATTCTAAAGGTTAGAAACGTTTATTTATTTATTGACTCAGTTAAATCATATATACTTACGTGATTAATTATATTTTATAAATAATATCTAAACCTAATTGAATTTATCATGAAGAGTTTCACAAGCAAATCCAATAGGAAATTCTTCACGTTTTCCTTTAAAAAAACCAAGAAAAACAAATATTTATTAAATATTCTAAATAATTAAGTATAAACTGATTGTGTTCAAGGCAAATATGTATTTATTAAATAAATAAAAATAGTTGTCTTATTCTATTATCAAACTATTCTCATGGTTCTAGACAAATATGGCTAACAAATGAAAATCTTCTTAAACTGGCTAACCAACAACCATGTTTTATCTATGGGCCAAGTCTCTTTGCAATAAACTAATGAGTTCTTTCAGTGTATATTCAATGAATATGTGCATAGAACATAAGGTGATTATAGATAGATATATAGGTAAATAATGAGTGGTCACTTTTTGGATTAAGGTCGAGAACGACAATTCTCTCGAAAAAGCAAACAACAAGGAATCTATGACTCAACGAGGTTAGTTAATTTGTTTTCAACTCTTATAGATAATTATTCTGAAAGATTTGTTTTTCTAAGAGTAGTTAACGCTTTTTTTTATAAAGGAATAATGTTCATTTCAGAGATAAATGACCGTGATCATTTTTTGAATAACTTTTTATAGGAATGAGATAAAGACCTGGACTTTCCACTGACCGAAACGAGGAGATGAGAATGCATCGAAGCGTCGAGGATATCCCATAAATAAGATGGCGATAAGAAATGAAAATATCTCCGTCTAGATGTCGACCAAACGAGCTCAAATTTTGAGCAGTCATACGAGCTATATTCAAACTTTATATTGATAAAGACATCCATAGAGAGAATCCTTCTTAACTATCATTATTGACTTCAACACAAAAATTTTACTTTTTCACAAATACAAGAAAAAAAAATAATATAGTTAAGAAAGGTTCTCTCTATGGATGTCTTTATCAATATAAAATTTGAATATGGCTCGTATGACTGGTCAAAATTTGAGCTCGTTTGGTCGACATCTAGACGAAGAGATTTTCATTTCTTATTGCCATCGTATTTATGGGACAGCCTCTATATAGAAAGATTTTTCTAACTATTTTTCTAAACTTTTTAGATAAAAGTTGAATAAAAAGAGCATGCCTCTCATTATTCTAATAAAAAAAAAGAAGATAAGATTTGTTTTTCTCTAAAATGTAACGGTAATAGTAATGTCTATTTAGTGGAGATTTTTTGAGTAACGTTTTCATATAAACAAGGCAGAGAGCTGTGCTTTTGGCTTGTTTCGAAACGAGGAGATGACGATGTGCGTCAAACCGTTTATTAGATTTATTTCTAGCATCTTCTCTCAAATTTATTTAATCAATTTTCTATGTGTGGAAATATGGTTTCTTATCAAAAAGAAAATAGTAAAAAAAAACTTGCTTTTTACAAAAATTGTCAGAAAAATTGATTATAGCTTCGACTAGTATATCTATAACTGCCGAATAATAAATTGTAAACATGTGAATCTTGTGCAGGTTTTTCGACCTCATTAATGGTTTGAATATAGACCTAACAATTAACAATTCAGTCTAAAAACCTTACCGGATAGATTTGCTTTGAAAGAAGTCTAGGGGTTGTCTAAAAAAGTCCTAATTTAGGGAATCAAATAATCAATGTTTTTAATTTATATTCTTTTTGTAATATGGTTTGCTCTACTTGAATCATTATTTGAAATTATGATAGATACTGTATATCCATTCATCAAATAGATCAAATAATAGAATTGAATCTTACTTTGTAAATGCTAATGAAGCCATATGTCCACCAAGAGAAAAACCATGTAGAATAGCTGATGTTAATTTCATTTTTTGACACCAATGAAGTAGATCTGAGGGTTTTCTTAAACCATAATATGGATTTCCAAGAATAATTGAACCTATAGGATATTGATTAATTAATGGGACTGCAGTCAATAACCTTCGTCGACTAAAACCATGATCACCTGTTCCATCATAAGAAATTTCTATTGGAACTGAATCAATACCAAAACGATGATCAAGTGATAGAACAAGGTGAAAGTGAGCTGTAGCTACTTGAGATGGAACCTATTTAAATAAATATAACAAAAGAAAAAAGATAATATGAATTAAATGATTAAAATAATTTTAATTACTTACCAAATGTGGTAAATAATTGACAAGTGGTGAACGAAATCGATCATTTATATAATTTTGATTACCTTTTTGTTTCTTGTTTAATTATTTCAACAGTACTTTCCTGTACATTTTCAGCTGGTACAAGTTCTAAACACTCATCTCTTACAGCAATTTTTTCACGTCGATAGGTAAAAATTTCTTGTAAATAAAATGGATTTCCCCAGCCACGTACAAATGATTGAGTTAATATAAAACGTCGAAAGAGATTATCGAAATTCATCATTTCAATCGTACTCGAATCTTTAATGTCATCTAGAGAATTGTTGATCTGCTCTTCTTTTTCTTTAATCGAACAAAAAACAGGACAATACAATGCTTTAATATTCTCAATAGTTTTTAAACACACACATACAAAAAAAACTCTTATATGTTCTTTTTATTTTCCTAAATCAATCTCGTTAGTTTACTATGAAAACAAAAAACAATATTTTTATTGAATAGCACCAATAATGTTAAGTAACATTTGAGGACCATGTGGTAAATAGACGCTATTTCTTGATTTTGATAATTGATTTGCAATACCTTCAGCGGCTTCAATTCATCGAAGTTCGATCAAACCTAACATGAATATTAAAACAAAGTAAGACAGGATAATAAAAGATATTCGAAAATTTACCATCACCAGCTTCATCTAAAGCTTTGCCAATCAAATCACCTGTACGAGCATCACCTTCTGCTGCAGTAACATTTGCTTGACGACTTTGTTCCGTCTGTTTTTTTTATCAAAAAAAAAACAAACTCATACAAATTTTATTCTTATTGATTTATTTTTTCGACTCAAAATCGTTGTTTTAATTCAACAGCACTTGTAAATTCAGGTCTAAAATTTAAATGTGTCTAATTTAAAGAAAAAAACAATATAATCAACTCGAGACTCTTTTTTGTTGTATCTTACAATTGAAATATCATCAAGTAATAAACCAAATTGAGCAGCACATTCTGTGACTAATTCACTAACACGTTGGGAAAT